CAAAATCTAAGGATTGAATAAAAAAAGTCAAAATAATTTTTAAACAAATATATGCAAATAAAAAAATCATTTCATTATAAAATAGATAAAGAACATCACATACTTTTATTATTATTTGATATTGGAGACTAGATTAGCTTTACTTAATTATATGATATTATTACTTAAAGGTGTTTTTCTGTCGCTACAGCATATCTTCACCAATCCTGTATCAAATCCAATGATAGAGTTCTCATTTTGAAAATCATTCTCTCATATGACAGTCAAATCCTCCCAAAATTTTTACATATTATTATTTTATATTTTGTTGATCATTTTTACTTTAGATGATCAGAGGATACCTTAAGCTCTAATACTTATTGCTCTTGGGTATGACAAATTGTGTTGTAATTCAATAAACAAATAAGAATTATTTTTTAATTCTCAAAATATGTATGTAAAAATATAGTTTAAGAAGATACAATATTATTTTATATAATTTTTATTTTAATATTATTTTATCGATGAATACACAATACATATTAAAATACATTGACAATGCATACACAGTAGAAAGGCAATACATTAAAAATCATATTTATTTATTTTATATAAAATGTTTCCGGTTTTTCTTCGCTTCTTAGACTACTGGCTACAACCAAATGCAAAACCATACTAAAATCTATCTTTTGTGGGCATGAATTTACCTAGATAAATTTTGTCACATAGTTCGATTTCTGTAGAAATATAGAATTGAGTCCAGTTAACCTATTTTGGAAGTGGGGAAATTAATGTGTTATTCGAGTACTGCATATTTTGAATCCAGATACAGTTTTTTAACAATATCCCATTTATCCCTATTGAACAAACGGGACACCTAATACAAACCTCTAACTTGAAATCCTCATACCAGACTGAAACGACGAGAAACCGCTCGACGTTTCCGATTACTACAGCACTTATTAGACAAACGCTCTAAACTTTTAGTAAATTATAAAATACTCATATACTTGTCTACAATAAAGTCTATTTGAACATACGGAGTTGAGATATGGAGCTCCACTAAACCATCGAATTCCTCTAGTATCCAATCCTTACAATTTAAAATGCTTCGTAAAATCTCCATTGCTGCTTGCTTTGTTATAAATCAAATCATCCATAACGAAATATTCCTTTTGTTCCTGATTTCGCCCAATCCAGATACCTATCCTTCCATAATAAACACCAAAACCATCCCAATCCTCTCGTTTCTATGCTTGCTTTTGAATCTCTTTGATTCCTGATAATCCACCAAAACGTCTGAAAAGAAGATTGCCCCCGATCTCCTTATGTAAAAAAATTATAGAGTGATACCAGCGGGTAGTTTTTCAACAATTGTTATCATATGTGTTATGTATTAATTTGTTTCATATACTAAGTGTATTTTTATTTGTTTTAATACACTTGTAAATATCATAAATAAAATTTAAAAAATAAATAAAACCCCTTGTGCGACTCTTGTTAATAAATATCCTGAAAAATACATAATATAATTTGTATATAGTTATAATATTGTCAATATAACAATTATTGGTGCTTACCCTCCTATTTCTAGGGGGAGTATTTATTTATTTTTGTTATGATGGAAATTACTCTAGAAGTAAAATGGTGTGGAAGTGGTTCAAAAAAAGTTTTTGTCTTGGCACGTAGCTTACACTTATTACCTATATGTGCATTGTAATTTAAAAAAGATTATAATATAGTGATTGTTTAAGTATTTAGTTCCGATCTCTCACAAAAATAAATATGGACCAACGAAGTAAATTAATTACTTTTCTATTTTTGTGGGCTTTATAACGAAAGCTTATTTCTCCACTCTGTGTGCTTCCGGTTTTGTAGAGGCTGACTAAATACTTATAAATATTTAATTCATAATGGTTAACTTAAATGATATTAAAATATAAAAAAAAAACATTAATGTCGCGCGGTGATAAGCGGATATCGATTTTATTATACACGTGAAGAAGCCATTCCATTGAGAAGAACCTAAATGGCTGTTGGCACATATGGTCAGAAGCCATTTTCTTTTTAGGCGTAGTCTAGAACAAGGGATCAAGGTTGCGGTATAGTTTTTTTTTTGTTTTGTTGGTTTTTTTTTTTCCCTTCCCGCCCACAGTTTATCATGGAATCTATTTCGGAACTAGTCCCAAGTCTTCTGGCAAGATCGCATGATTTCTCGAGTAAAATCCTTGAGGTAGGTTGCGGTTTCAAGGTTTGATAAATAATGATTCCACTTCAGACAGCAACAAATAGAACGTATGATGTAAATATTTATATAATTACAGATACGATGTAGAAAAACTGGTACTCTTTGGAATATTCCCAACTGTTTTCAATTTTATCTGATTTAAAAAAAAAATTCAATTAGAGTACATACTCGAGCTTGAATCGTATAAGAATTGTATTGTTTTAAAAGATATATTTTTGTTTTATTTTAATAATTTATGGTTTTTATGCAAGGTTTGAATAATATGTGAATGTATGCACACCTTAAATTGAGCACATAACAATGAAAAAAATATATTTTTGCGCAGTAGTGGAACTAGGATTTTTGTTTTAGAAGATTTTTATTTTATTTTTTTTTAAACTGCAAGAAAAATAATGCTTTTAGGGGTAATGTTTTTATATTTTTTCTTGATATATGATTTCAACTACTAGATTAAATAATTTATTTAAAAGTTATAATTTAAAAAGAGTACATATTTCGATTATTTAAATATTTCGTTCATATCACTTACAAAAGCAAATTTTGACCATTGATAAATTATATTTATTTTCACACTTCAGGCTGAAAGCACCCACCGGGACTTAGGCATTTTATTAAAATTGTTACAGCCGCTTTTCCTTGTAGCTATAGTCTGCAGAGATACAGGTTTTTCTGCCGCCATTTTGTAGAGGAAGGTTGGATGGTAACTTGGAGTTCTGAGGAGCGTCCTTCAGTGGCTTCCAAAATTATTATTAAATTTGATAACAATTGGCTTAGTCGTCCTGAAGAAAAGCCTGGAACGAATAAATATTTTATTTTTCCAATTTTCGGAATATATGTATCTTGAAACGTAATGATGCTACATTGAAAATGAGGGTTAAAGTTTTTTTTTTTTTTTTCCTTGACAACGGTCGATTCTTAGTCAATTGAAAGTAATAATCCAAAATTTATAAACTGTAAAGACAAAATTGTTCCTAAGAATCAGTAACGGATTCAGAATTTAATGTTGGGGGAGGGCACGTTTTTTATTGGAAATATTCTCGAAAAAAAAAAAAAAAAAAAAAAAAAAAAAAATATATATATATATATATATATATATATATATATATATATATATATATATATATATAAAATTATGTTGAAGTGATCCAATAGTTCAACATCAACCAGAATAAATTGTCCTCGAAGATGTCTCAGAAATCCGAAACGTCGATTAGTAGATAATTATCAATAAAAATAATTATCAACATAATAGGTACCTTATATTATTAAAAAATCAGGATTGGAAAAATTTCATAGGCCCATATTCATTACTCTGCGTGGCCCGACCTTAATACTTGAATAATCACAACATGTTTAGCATTTTTAAATTATAACAAATATTCAGCTAGTAAATGGGAGTATCTGTCAAGAAAAAGAATTCTCTTTAAAATTATTATTATTTCTGTATTTTTTATTTATTTATTTAATTTTAATTTTTTTTAGCTAGGAGATCTTCACGGACCACATCAATATAATATTATAACGTTTCTTTTATTTTCTTGAAGAGCATGTATTATTATATAAAACAAAAAATAATCGTGTTTCGCTCTCAAAACTAAATTATGGATCTTAGGAACGATTTTATGTTTAATATTTATTAATTATGATTTCTTATGTTCAATATTGAACTTCAGTTAATCGACCTAGATAAAAAATATTCCCCATACGAATTTCAGATATTACGTTTCATGATATGTATAATCCACAGATCGAATACAAAAAATATGCGTTTGACCATGGCTTTTTCCAAAATTACTAGATTGATTGTTTTGAGATTTAATAGGAATTTTGGAGGCCTTCCGAAGATGACTATAGAAATTTGGTATACAACCTTTGATTTCAAAATTGCAGTTGTATCGCTTTAGAGCTAAAACGGTTGTAGCAATCTTAATGAAATTTGCGTACTATGAATTGCCTTGGTGGAATTTACTTTTCTAGTGTGATTTTGAAAAAAAATGATTCAAAATGAGGGAGACACGTAGAATTGCTAAATTTCTAAAATGCAGACAAAGTTATAAGCTTCATGTGTATATGTGGAATCTAATAAATCGCGGTAAAGTCTCCAGATAAAGGAAACCCGAAGATCATAAATATAAAAATTCATCTATTCTTTGAATAGTTCAGAAAACGTTGCGCGAATTCGTCATATACATAGCGCCACCATCTGGTTATAAGATAAATTTGAGAAGTACATTTCAAAAAGAAGAAAACTTTATCTACGTCTATCTGTGCTGATCAATTTTTCTATTGTTATATTATAAGTCAAGAGTATGATATTCTAATATTATGAATGAAAATTACATTTTTATTTTATTTTATGGCGCTATTGAAGATTAATTTGTACGATAATACGATTTCTTTTATAATTTGTAAAATATCGATGTAGTATTTTTTAACTATTTTTATCAACCCCCAAAATATTAAATTCGAACATAATATAATTTTGTCCAAATAAATCCGTAATTTCGTCCACTGTGAGCAAGTGCTAGGAATTAAAATATAACGAAGAAAAATAAAGTGAGATTGCTGTTATTTAAAGAGCGACTCAGCTCGCCTCGTTAGGAGTAAGCGGGAAGAAGACTGGCTGTGAGATGCAGCGCGCGAACTTGCAGGCAGGCCTCCTCCCTGCCGGGGGGGGGGATGCAGCGGTGCAGGGAGGGAGGAGGGCGGGGTGGGGAGGGGGGAGGAGTGGGGGCGGTACCTCCCCCTCCCTCCTCGCGGATGCAGTCCGATGCACATTTGCAACGAGTGCGCTTAGTGTCGTCCACAGCTTGCCATAGGACCGTGCGTGCTTGTGTCGCTTCCTCCTCACACTGTACATCGGCAGTCAAAGTGTTCTCCTCAACTATATATGGCAATAGCTACCTTGGATTTTATCCAGCCCCGCAATACTACGGTAAATAATTAGCAATTATTTACATATTTTTATTTTTATTTTTTTATTCGACTACGTAGAATATTTTATACTACTCCAAGTCTACTTTAAAAAAAAAATAAACAAATAAAAGAAAAAAATCTTATATTAAAAAATAAATAAATACTTCATTTCAAGTACAGTTTTTCTCAAAAATATTTTCTACAAAATTTTCCAGGTTAATTTTTTTTTTTAACTTTAAACAACTGACGATGTTCCATATCGGTTTTTATTATCATGATAACCATCTATAAAAATAATAATAATTATAACTAAGAATACCATCAAAATAAAAAATAAATAAGACTAATTTTTTTTTCAATTTTTTACTCTTAACCTTCATCGTTTTTTTAAATTTTTGTATTTCATATGTTAGGTGCATTCTTATCACAATAATCATAAGAATAACGGTACTATTGACATATACAAAATAACATATATTATATTTTATATCCTTTTACAATTTTTTTTTCATCTTTTGTATACAAAGAATAATAAATATATAAAAACAGTTGCATTCAGTATTTAATTATTAAGTAATCATAGAAAATTAGATTAATTTCTTGTGACCGAATCGCTATTTTCGAAATCTTTCACTTTTTTTACAAGTCTTTTGGTTAATAAATTCTAATGGTAATTAGAAATTCTATTTTTTTTAAATTATTGTATTGTTCTTGAGAAAGAATGACAATACTTTTGATAGAAAAATATACTGTTCACTATTTCATTAAATTGGAAATTTTCAAATCCTATTTTTCTTCCTTTTTTATAAAGTGATAAATATTTTTAAAAAATAATTTAAAATTGTATTTTTACTCTTGTACTGCAATCCCACTCCGTTATAAATTTAATATATTAAAAAATATTATCAAATCATTATTTCATTTTTTGTTTGTTATATACTTTTTCAAAGAAAACATTTTATTTTACCTTTAGCTTGTTAATTTGTATGCGAAGTTCTAATTGATATTATAAAAATTGATTAGTTTATAATAATAATAAATAGTTAGAAAAAACAACAACTAAATACGGGAAATGCAGGATGCCGGGACAATGCACACATACACTACTGCGTTGGTTGGGATAGTCTCGCGGGGTTGACTAGACGCCGACCGTCTTAACCAAGATCAGTGTTACCCGCTGTATATTTATCTTGAATTATTGGAATATAGCTTTTATTTTATTTAATTAATTTTATTATATAATTTAAATATTACTGACTATTAATGCTAGTTTTATAATTACTTTATATTTTACTTAGAAATTGACAGAGTAAACACAACTTAAATACATACCGTGAATTCATCCGATCTTTTACCAAAATGTATTTTTTTTTATATAAGTTTCATTTAAAATTTACTGGTTGTTTATATTGTTTGATTTAATTTGATAAATATATTCTGTTTTATTTTCGTCAGTGTTGCCAAATTTATAGAGTATTTATCATTTTTATTTATTTATTAAATGCTTTTTGGTATGAAATAATTTACATATCGGTTTGGTAGAATTGTTTTTATATATTCATTTATTCCTTTTATATGCTTACTTGACTGAAATAAATAATAAAAACAAAACAAATATTTTACTGAGCTATTCTATAATACATTTAAAGTTAGTGAACGCTTTTAAAATCTAAAACTATATGATAAATACGAGTCAACTGTATAAAATATGTGCTAAAAAAATATTGAAATATAAACTATTTCCTTCATTTAAAACATAATAAACAAACCGTAATGAAGTTATTTTTTTTATCAATCTTTTGTAATGAATAATTTCGGATGAGTATAATAGAATAAAATTAGTCATACAAAAGAAAATATACTTATTTTAAAAACTATCAAACTTTTAAGTCCATCCAACTTTGACTTCAGTTTATTTTCTCTTAACATGTTTAATGTATATTAGTTCTATTTTTATAAATGCCGTATATTTAAAGTCATAATTTAATAAACATATTTTTGTTTTAATTTCATCTTATTCGATCTTTCTTGAGAAAGAAAAATAAATTAATCACGTTTTTAAACAGAAAATTTCAAGCTCTATTCATTTTTTTTTATAATAGGATGTTTGATATAACTTTCAAAGTTATTAAATTATCAAAATGTTTTGACTCTATATTAATATAGTTGTATTAACTCTATGAATATGAATAAGTTATTAAATTTTTAGTTTTTATATAATTAGGAATAATATTTATTATATTATTCTGGATTGGGGATCCCGCTTTCATAAGTAGTAGTAACAATATTTATCATTTAAATGCTCTTATATATAAATATATTATATATCATATTTGCTTTTTCTTTTAATAAAACGTTTATTCGTCATGTTAATTTTTTTTTGGGCTGAAGATGTGGCAACTCCAGTCCTGTTGTGCAATATTCTCCATCTTATCATTTAATTTATTTAATATGTTGTTATATTTAATATTATTATTAAAATAATTATAGGTAAAACAATCCTAGAAATGAACCCCGTTCTTGGAATGTTGTGTTATTGTTTACCTTGCCGGCAACAGTAACGACGCTAGATAAACTCATCACATTAAAAACCGATAGTTGATTCATGGTCGTTTAACTGTTCATTTTATTACAATTGCTTTATCTGTATTCGTCGTTTAAAAATAGCTTTGGGTCCCGCCACATCTTTTAGAACTTAAATAACTAAATATTTCTGAAATTCTTTCGACAAAATCTTAGCGGAGTCGGCATATTTCGCTAAAAACATAACAGACTACTAAAACACTGTTTATTATTTTTTTTCATTCATTAATTTCATTGAGGATATACTAGCTTAGCTATTAAATATATTTTGCATAAGTAAATATTTTCTATATAGTTGAAATGTATATATTATATTACATATTAAATGCGATCTTAAAATAATTCCTGATAAATTTTCTGATATTTATAATTTTAATAAATATCTAATTTATATACCTAATAGAATTATATAATTGAATTATATTTTTTGTAATTATGAAAATGATATAGAACAATTGTTAAGGAATAGGCGCCAAAGATGTGACGTTCTACAAAGAACAAAAATACTGTTTTTAATTTACAAAGATTTTCTCACCAATTTTATTTTAAAAATGTCCTTAAATATTTTTGTGATTGTAATTGGTAAATTAATTTTTTCACCGATTTTATTTCATAAATTTTCTAAAATGTCGAAAGATTCGTTGTGTTTAAAAATGTATTTATTTTTTCCTGTGATCTCATGATTATGTACAAAAAAGTTATCTGTAAAAAACGTTCCATATTTATATCATATATAATTATAGATACTAATAAATATAATATAAAATATTGTGAAACTATACCGATGAGATCACTGATTTAAATATAAATATAATAATAATTTTTATCAGTTCCTTTAAAACAAGATATAATATGGTTTCATTCATACAGCTTTTATTTGGAACGGCCTCGCTATTATTATATAAAGTTATTCTTTGTTATAATAGGTCTTTTGGCCAGATTTATTGATAATTTGTATGGACAATATTGTTATTCTTATGGGACTTTGCTCCAGAGTAAAGATGATTTTTCTATTTCTATTATAAGCAGTCTTGGATTTAATTTATATTAAATAAAAAAAAATTTTAAAGTTTAAATACCAAGCCTCCTGAAATCGGATCTATACATACGGATACATTTTTATTATTCCAAAATTAATACAAACTCTGTGGTTACTTTAAATAATGTAAAAATTATTAGAATTTTATAAAATAAAAATAAAGTAAGAAAAATCCAAATTAAAATTTAAACTGCTACTTTTGAATTGGTGGAAATATCTCTTTAAATTTTTAAAATAAGAATCGCAGTATATTTTTGAAAATCCTATATAATGCTATTTTTAAAAAATAAAATAAAAATTTAACATTTTTTTTTATAAATAAATATATGTTCTAATTATTGGTACCAATAATTTAGGAGGAACATATGCAAGGCAGAACAAAGTTTTAAAAAATATCAGAATGCATTTTATACAATAGAGGTTCGTAAAAGGCGAAAAAAAAAAATATGCTGAATAATGTAAAATTTATAATGTTTTCTAACGGTAAATGAAGTTTGCAAAGAAATATTATGGATAAAGATGGAATAAATGTAAGAAACATACGAGTGAAGAAACATTTGGTCGGGGGTGGTCAATATATAATAAGATATATTATAATAGTATTTTATTGTGTTTGCCAACGTTTCGAGTTACGTTCTAAGATATATTATAGATAAATATGAAAGAAATGTATTTATTAAAAAATTAACTATGTTTTACAATACAGTTGCTTATTACAGTACAATATACGGCAAATGCAATAAAATACTGTTATAATATATATTATTATACGATATATTTATTTACTGTTCCCTCGACCATCTTCTTCTTAAATTATAATTACGGCTAATCATCTCAGTAAGGAAACTACAAAACAAAAACAACAAAAACACTTTTAAAGATGGAGGCCGAAAAACTTGTTATTAAGCTCTACGATTATTTATTTATTTTTTTATCAAAATCGGGGATATAATCAGCTATTTGAGATATTTAGATAGAAAACTTAAATGAAGATAATAAAATAGAGAGATATAATAAAAATGAAGCGGTCTTATTTTGAATCTGTATAAAAGGGCATATGAAGACTAAATCTCCATGGATACAAGCCACCCTATTTCTGAATTGACTCCGTTGACAAACAGGAAATTCAGCATTAATGGCATGTACCTGGAGAAAATTGGTCTCCTAGGGGTTCTTTGATATCTTGGCTGTGGATTCCAAACCGACTCAAATATTTTCATACATTGTCGTAAGACAATGTTTATTATTATTTACTTAAATAATACTACTTATAATACTTAATTGAGAAATAAATTAAACAAGCCATATTGTATTTATTCAAATAAAATAATATATGATGACCAATGACTTTGCAAGACCAAGAATGCCTCACTGTTGCAAACCAAGACTAGTAAAAA